AATCGGACTCCATCCCTCGTCCACCCGGTCTTGCGCCTTGATGAGGCTTGCAATGCTGGCTGTATGTTTATGGCTCTGTCGCGCAGCGCGCACACCCTTCGGCAATGCGTTCCCATTCGCTGTACCATTCGGTGCAGACGCGCGGTACGTCGGCAACGCAGACTCGGGATCGTCCTCCGGCTCGCTCTCCAGCTCGTACGCTTCTGGGCCCGCTGGCACCTCAAGGTCGTACTGCGCGTACTTGCTCGCACGAAGCGGGCCCGGACCCGAGGTAGCCGCAGCGCCGCGGAGCTCGTCGGGGAGCATGAGGTAGAAGAACAGCACGGACATGCAGCTCCCTCCGACGACGTCGATGAGGTAGTGATGCGTGAGATACATCGTCGCCCAATACAGCGTCCCAGCATACGCCCAGACGTACGGGGTAGTCTGCGGGAAGAAGTGCGAGACGAAGAGCGCTTCGATCGTTGCGCACGCGCTGTGCAACGATGGGAAAGCGCCGAAGATGACGGGGCTGTTGGAGAAGCCCGTTGTGTAGCCTGAACTGTGGAACATATGGTCGATGCGCAATAGACCGCCCGGCGAGCCTTTCATGCCGTAGTTGGCTGGCATGAGTCCGAAGATGACTTCGTACCAAGGTGCCGCGCAAGGGAAGAGGATTTGCACGAGTACGCCGACAAAGTTGAGGTACCCAAAGACCCGCGCGAAGAAGTGCAGGGCTTCATTTGGGCGGAATAGCCATGTGAAGGCCGCGATGAAGAATGGGAAGCTGAAGTGGATGACGCCGTAGGGTAGCCATGCGAAGATGTCGAGTATTGGGTGTGTGAAGCGCGTGAGGAGGTCGGAGATGTTGGCTCCGAAGAGTACGGATTCGAGTGTCGGTAGGACGACGACTGAGATATTTGGCCTGTACTCGTTCGGGATGAACTTCGATGAGAAGTAGCAGATGAGCCAGGTGGTGATTGGTAGCGCCGGCGTGAAGAATTGTGACGTGAAGGGTATGAGGAGGATGGTGAGGTGGAATATTGGGATGAAGAGTTTCAGAGGAAAGGCGGGCGAGGTCATCATCCAGACCCAAAATGCCGCGTTGAGTGCGTGGAGGGCGTATATTGAGTCGGACGGAGTGAACCGATGATTTCGTATCCTGTTGATCGTGTCCATCGGATTCAACGACTTGTCCAGCCGGCCCACCCCCACCACGAATGCCGACCATATGTCGTTGGCCACCCTCACGACCTGTTGTAATGCCATGACCTAGAGTGGTTCGTCAGCAACATGATTGATGGAGATGTGTGTCCGAATCCCAAGAAATATTCCATGATGAATCATGGACACTGTACTCGGAAACGCGCGTACTGGGCGCTGAACGCGCGGAAACTTCGTTGCACGCATTTCCCAAAGCAAACAGCCCGGCACATAGTGGTTCAAGAGATCCGAACTGGTAGTTGTCCAGATACTGCCATGGACTAGTTGCCAGCGGAGCGGTTGGACTGAGCGCGCGCACATAAACATCCAGTTTCGTGATCAACCTCACGTCAGCAAGATCCTGTCCAGAAGGACACGAATGACTGGCACAAGCACCCCAGTCGCAAGCAGACATGTACACATAACGAGTTGCCCAACTAAAGAGGTGTGATGCTTACCAAGAAGAGAGATGGTGGGAGGGTGAGGAGGAGAACAGGCGCGCGCGTAACGCGAGCGCGTCTCGACGCGGCTGTGGCGGTCCGGCGGCGATCAACATGATGATGAGAAGTTCGTTCGGCGCTGTTCGGCGCGATGGTCCTTTGTCTCTGGCGTTCATCAATATACCTGCTAAATGATGGAATCGACCTCATTCGGAGCTCAAACAGGAGGTACTCTGTGACGCGTACGTATCTTCAGGCGAACTGCAGAGCCAGAGCCATCTACAGATGGGACAACTGAGCGGTAACGTCTGAACGTTTGAACGGCCAACAACATCAATCAGATTAAGTACAAGGAATAAGTATATGATACAGGCAAGGCGTGTATAGAGTTCGGTACGCGGTCCGCTCATGTTCAGTCATCATACAGGGGCGGCACCGCGCACCATCCGTTGCGCGCTACGTTCGAAAGCTTTATCGACGCGGATTAGCGTTACACACAAACTAGAATCGCTACAAGTACGTACCGCTACATCCTTCATAGCATCCTACCCTCACTTACATAGTGAAAGATTCTTCAAACCGAGGGCAAACATGCTCTGTAACGCCCGGCCCCGTCAAAATCTGGTCCCCACACTTCTCGCACTCAGCACGCCCGACCGGGCGAACCAGCGTCGTCGCCTTCTCGTGCTCCGGGTTCTCGGACAGGTGCACAACAAGATCCAACCAGTCCTCAAATCTCTCCTTGCACGTAAAGCATGCTGATTCCTGCGGTAGATATTCTTGGACTGGCTTGATGCAGGCTCCCGGGACGCGTACGGGTATCTTGACCTCGGGCGTGGCAGCAGGGCACTGGCTTGCGGCTCGCGGGCGCGGGCGGCGACGGCGACGCGGTTGCTTGACCCATTCCTGTTCCTCCGCACGCTTGTCCCGATGTGTCAGAGCATACATCGACCTCTCCAGAGATTCGAAGCGACGTAGCAACTGTGGGGACTTGTTCTTGTACGGGTGTGGTGGCTCGCGGGGCGTGGCATTTGTGCGGACGGGCCCGCCGCCTGAGCTCGGGCCAACCTCGGGCTGTGGCACGAGATCTCGATCGCGGGTTGTCTGCGACACGGTGTCGGCAGAGGCCCTCTGCGGGCGGTTGAGAGTGCGTCGGGCGACCCTGTTGGTGTGAGGAGTTGCCGGCGGGGTCGGGGTGGCATCCACAGTGGCTGAATTCACCTGGACGCCGGTTAGAGGTCAAATCAGCACCGATTCGACATTGCACTCGTGAGGGCGTACATCTACGGTGCCACCCATGGCCTGCGTGGGCGTCTCAATCATGTCTGCCAATGTTGGTCGTGTGCTGGTCGACCCAAACTGTTGCTATGGCTCGGATCAGTGTCCTCAGACAAACCACAGCCCGCGGAGGACGCACGTCGATTGTACCAACATCGCGTACTGCTTGTACCGGCGTCACTTCTATGTGTCCCTCAACTACAGATGGATGGTTTTCGTGCTTTCCACTCATGGCTCTGTATAACGATGGAGGCAGGAGACGAGGAAGGAATAGGCGTCTGCGCCGCTTCATGGGTTGGTGTGGTTATTCCCGCGCCTGGCGGCGCGTGATGGGGGTGGTTGATCCTCTATATCCCTTTCACGCCTCGATTGGAGACTCTGACTCGGGCGAGACTGACTGTATGACTGGCGTGTGATGTACTTACGACGTGTTACCCCCATATGAAAGGAATGATATCAATCTTATCACGCATCATCCCGCGCGTCGTCAACTCTCGTGACCGCGTTCTAGCCTTCAAGCGCAAGGCTTCACAAGCTTCAGTCCCAAGTTGTCTCTGCGCGCCTGCGCTCAGTATGACTATGAAAATGACACTGAATGACCTTCCGGATGAACAGAGGTCTCTGCCACAGAGAGCTCCGACACAAGAGCCGAGCGAAGGTCAACGACCAGGGTTGTAAGCCACGCGAAGGGCGCTTGCCTGCTGGCGCGACCTCGGACGCCGCTATGATAGCCTGAGGTGTTGAGAGTTCACGCAAACATGAAGAGAAGATTGAAACTGTATGAGCTTCATGAAGAGTACTGTACAACATGATGCAGGGGGTACATGTGCAGTGTCCGAGTGGGTCATGCCAACAGCAAACTGTCCGATAGCAGTACATTGTCCGTTACTTCATAAGTCCGAGATGTCCGAAGAATAATACATTGGTTGCATTACGGTGCTTAGAGGCCACAGAGCTTCGAGGCGACGCGCTGCACGGACGCGGTGATGACCCCGTACTCGACGGCATGACCGCCAGTGATCTTGTCAAGCGACGTCTGCGAGGTGACGATGCCCGTCTTGGCAACATCGATGGCGGTGAAGAACGTGCTCTTGCCCTAGATTCCAGAGTCAGTTCAGGTCTTCAAAAGAATGATAACCGTCGAGCATACCTGGTATGTGATGTTCCAGCACGAGCCGCAGTCTGCGTCATTCCAACCGCCGATGTACTGAGAAGAACCGATGTTGGGGTACGAGGGTAGCGAGCTGAACGTCGTGAAGCCCTTGGTGAGTAGCCCGTTCGAGCCGTCTGAGCATGCAACGGTCGCGAGCGACTGGCCGGCGTTGTTGTAAACGGGGTCGTAGCGGACCTCGGTGGCGACAACAGCGGCGACGAGGGCAAGGACGGCGGCGATGAACTTCATGACGGGGTAGGTTGCGTATAGAATAGAGACGTAAAAGCTTCAGTGGTAAGCGCTTAAAGAAATTGACGAGTACGAGCCAGGGCCCTCTTATACAAGAAACTTGCCGGCGCTCGCCCCGACTGCCGACTGTGAAGCCCACGACGGCATTCCCTGACCCAGGATCCGGCATGTGACGGGCGCACAAGCCGCGAAGGTACGGCTTGGTGATGTATACAAGAGGTCGAGAAAGCGGGGAGGGTACTCCGAAGAAGCGCTAGACGGAAGCCAAGGAAGCTCAGCGGGCTCGGGTTTCAGCGGTTTTCGACTCTAGGTCAGAAGGCTGGAGGATCTCGAGGGTCGAGCGACCCATCGATGAACGTCGGCATCGGGCTCACCAGACCGCCACGGCTTGTCATATAGCGTATGCTCGTGCTCCGCCTGTAATATACGGTCATAGTGCGAGTAAAGGGCCGGGAAGAGCGCCCTCCAGCACCGTGCAGGAAAAAGGTCGGTCGAGGTGGATGCCAGAGACCACGCTACTTCTTCTAGTGTTATATATCGTATCATGCGTAGCCCATGGGGCTCTTGAGGGTGTGGGTCATGGTTTCCAAAGTCTCCAAGCGAAAGGCAAATGGTGGTGGTCGGGGAGTCCGACGTCGACTGTCGCGATGCGCTCAACCAACCTCGGGCCGGGCTTCCGGTCCGGGCATCTGAAAGCGTGTATTCGAGGCGGTGCACGACTTGCCTATTGACGCCCAGCTTCTAGCTTGTCGTCTCATGCCGTGCACGCTGGAAGGCAGTCGCTGCTCAGGCGACGGTCTAGGCGACGCGGTGCAAGGAATGTGTGCATGACTGTTTGCTGAGACTGCCCAGATGAGAGCAGGTCACTGTTTGTCTGCGTCACGTTTGTGGGTAGGATGTTCGATGGCTCCATGCGTGCAGTCAGGAGTTACAATACCACCAGCAGCCATTGCGGGACGCTTGTTAACCTCTGCAATGTCTAATGCGTACACGCTTCCCGACAATTACTCCGGTATCCGCATGACTATGCTGGCTTCGTCCTGTCGCCGCCTGATGCGCGCTAAGAAATTAACGTCCCCTCCTGTTGACTTTCCCGTGCAGCATTTCGTCATCACAGCAAGAGGTACTGGATACAAACTGAAAGTAGTGTCCGACACGAAGATACAGGGGTACATTTCGATCATAGTCCAATGGTCCGCGTCTCACTTGCTATACAGTCCAACAGGCGCGCATCGGCATGTCCATACGAAAACATCGAGCCCTTCCTACATCCCACAGTGGGAACCGGCAACCTTGACCACGGAAGCATTGATGACGCCGTTGTTGATGTTTGCGAGCTGGCTGAATGACGTCTGAGAGGTGACAACCCCGTCTTTCGCGACGTCGATCGCGGTGAAGAACTGGCTCTTCCCCTGGAGAGTAACTTCATCAGCACGGCTTCCTTCTTCTCATGAGAGCGACTAACATTGAATGTTATGCTGAAGCAGGTCCCACAGTCTGCGTCGGCGAAGCTGGTGATGACCTGCGAACCGCCGACGCTCGGGAACGTTGGGAATGAATCGAGCGTCGGGAACTTATCCGCGAGGTTCGAGCACGCCACGACGTCTGTGGACTCGCCAACTGTGTTGTAGACGGGGTCGAAGCGGACGTTGGTCGCAGCAGCGACGGTGGCGAGGGTGAGAGCAGTAGCGATGAACTTCATGGTGGGTTTAGGGCGAGTGGGGTAGGGGTTGGAGAGACTGTGAAGGTCGCTGGCGTTTAGCTGAACGAACACGAAGCTTTTATACCGTCTTCGAGGGCGCCTGAGCTGTGGTTATACCGGGTATGAGCTAGTGTTTGAACTTAGGACTCGTTGGCGGGTCGCTCATGAGACTCATTGTAGAGTCTATGGGGCACGAAGAGAGATGCGGAGACGGTAAACGTGGGCCGAAGATACTCAATGTGGTCGAATGAGATCTATTTCGAAGACCCGAAGGTGGCTAGCTATGCCCGGCCCTCATGCTCTTTGGTCATATGGTGCAATACGCGGGAGAGAACTGGGAAAGAACAGGCGTAGAAGGCCGTCTGCAAGCTCGAGTCGCTCGACGCGAAACACTTCCGTTCGTCAAAAGTCCCAGCGACGGTTAGGGATGCCGCGGCGCTTGCGCTGGTGGGCCGGTGTAGAACAGCTGTTGGTCATAGTGCCCTCTAGAGAAGTCATGAAGTTGGTCGTCCCATGCGCGCTATCACCGGCAATGAGCCACAGACAAAGTGAAGCATGAAGCATGATCTTCGGCATTCAAGTTATGACTTCCTCTCCGGTTACGCATGGACCTGATTCGCCAAGCCTCACCCAATTTGTGCAATACTGCCACTCGAGATGACAACAGCAAGCCTGAGCTGCATGCAGGGAACGTTCAGGATCGGTTATAACCCTAACATGGCGGAAATACGTACCCAGAGAATCAAAGATTTACGTTCGTCTTTTTTGGTCCACCCACGCGTCAACTTCCAGCGAGCGAACCTTGTATCACGAGTCATAAGGTTGAGTTAAGAATCGTCGAGTTAAGGTTTGGGTCGTCAAGATTACTGTACAGCATGAGGCAAAGGTACATGTGCAGTGTCCGAATGTATCATGTCAACAGCAAATTGTCCGATAGCAGTACATTGTCCATGAAGAGCCACGAGTCCTTGAATGCAAGAGGGAAAGGTCCATTATGTGAGATGCAGGTCTTTACAGACCGCAGAGGCTGGAAGCGACGCGCTGCACCGATGCAGTGATCTGTCCGTACTCGACGGCGTGTCCGCCGGTGATCGTGTCTAATGACGTCTGCGAGGTGACGATACCCGACGTAGCGACGTCAATGGCAGTGAAGAACGTGCTCTTGCCCTATGAAAGTTTGTGAGCTACATTCGCCGTTCGGCTAGCAAAGAGTAAGCATACCTGGTAGGTGATGTTCCAGCACGAGCCGCAGTCCGCGTCGTTGTAGCCGCCAACGTACTGCGATGCGCCGATGTTGGGGTACGAAGGCAGCGAGCTGAATGTCGTGAAGCCCTTAGTGAGCAGACCGTGCGATCCGTCGGAGCAGGCGACGGTGTCGAGCGACTGGCCAGCGTTGTTGTAGACGGGATCGTATTTGACCACGGTCGCGGAGACGGCAGCAACAAGAGCAAGGGTGGTGGCGGCGAACTTCATGATGAGGTAGTGTGAGATGAGAGTAGAAGGCGTGAAAAGCTTCAGTAGTAGACGCTTGGTGTTGAAGGTTGCGAGCGGCCGCTACTTATACAACCCCCGCCGGCGCCCGAACCGACCAGCGACTGCGAAGCCAACAACGGCATTGGCTAAGCCGACATGTGACGGGTGCACAAGGCGCGGGTTTGGAGAAGCCGCTATACACACAAAACGTCGAGAATGCTGTGATCGTGGTCCGAGGAAGCGCTGCTCGGAAGCCAAGTATACAGTTGCATGACCAAATATGGCTCCGGGTCAGAAGGCTGAACAACCTCGATGACCGCACGACCCGCCGACGAGCATCGGCGGCGGCCTCGTCAAGCCGCGATGGCCCATGTTACGACAAATGAAGTACACTGCTTAGCGCCACGAGCATGTAGAGCACACGGTCGTGACCCCGAATGAAGCCCTAGAACCCCCAAGAAGAGCATACAGATCCGCCACTACGTGATGACCAATGCACCTGATATCGAGACCTTGTGCTCGGCGGCGTACTCTCGGACCATGCGAAGCATGTTCAGAGGCCATTATATCTGCACGACCAGCATCGAGTGCGTTCTGTTGGTGACTATCTCAAGAGTATGACGGGCATGATGGCAGGAGGCAAGCATGCCGCGCGCTTGTTACAGCCGCGTGATGTCACCGAGCTCAACGCCTCCGTACAACGCGGCTTTGTGCCTCTTGACCACCACGGACCTCGACTCCACTCTCTGCATACCACGACCATCTCTTGTAGCATACTTCACATATCGCCTATCTTTTCGGCGCACGTACCGCTAGAAACGACTTATAGCCCACTCTGAGCGTCTCCTCTGATCTTGAACATCGCACTTGTCGCCCAAATATAATCGTCATGGCTGAAGCACCGATCAACGTCAAACTCTTGCTTATAGGAAACTCCTCTGTCGGGAAGAGTTCTCTGCTACTACGATTCTCTGACCAACAATGGTTACCTGAGGATGAGGCGAGCGCAACCATCGGTGTCGATTTTCGGGTATGTGGCGAACCTTGTTGGACTGCAGGGTGGCAAGCCGCTGTATGGACACGCGCTAACCGCACGTTACAGGTGCACAAGATGGACGTAAAGGGGAAGAAGGTCAAGCTCTCCATATGGGTGCGGAACATCATTGCATGGTGGATGAGACTGGGCTAAGCATCGAAATAGGATACTGCTGGCCAAGAACGGTTCCGCACCATCACTTCATCGTACTATCGCGGAGCGCAGGGGATCATTCTTGGTGCGCTTGCTTTCAAGTATGGGAGGATCACTCCTAACATCATCCTAGTATACGATGTGTCAAACCGGGAGACTTTCGATGCGCTACCACGTTGGTATTCCGAGCTTGAGACATACGTGAGTGAGTCGGTGGTGAAGATTGTAGTAGGAAATAAGCTCGATAAGGAAAGTCGAACTCACCTCTTCGTATCAATACGCGCGCACTGACCCTCATGTAGGAGTACACTCGACAAGTACCGACAGCAGAAGCTGAAGCCTTCGCAAACCGCATGGGCTCACTCTTCATCGAAGCATCGGCCAAGACATCTGTCGGTGTGCGTGAAGCCTTCCGGAACGTTGTCGAGCAGATCATCGATACTCCGGAATTGTGGGGAAACGCTACGAAGTCAGGTGGCGCATCTTCTGGTCGTAAAGCGCCCGCCTCCGCCTCTAACCAGACAATGCCGGGCACTATTGACCTCAGCGGTGACGCCGGAGACGAGCAGGGCGGTGGCTGTGGATGCTGAGCGTTCGGCGCTTAGACTGCGTAGATCGAGATCCGCGGAACTTCGGTCTTTCTGAGCTCTTCATGACTTACGACCCTGGTATATGCAGAGTACTCGTATACCATTACACGCCTCAGTATATCTTGCTATCATACATGCTGCGCTTTCGCCGTTGTCGCCGTATCTTTATCCCTGTACACTACTAATCATCCCCCTGTTGACATTGCTTGATGTCCGGACTTTGCACGTTCTTGACGGCTCGGCGCATCGGCTACAGCTGCGATAAGCCCAAGTTAGAACCTGAAAGTCGTAGTCTGCTCCATCTCCGAATCGGGGAATGTCCGCCGCTGTAAGCGCGGGATGAGCATGCCGAGGAGAAACATGAACTGCCGGACATACTCTGATGAAACGCTCGTCGTCCATGAGAACCTCATCGCCGAGACCAAAGGACGTCGTTCGCAGCCGTGTGCAGAGACAGGGGAGTTGGTCCACTGTGTGGTCTTCCGCCGTCCACCACCAGGGGCCTTCTGGGCGCAACCCCAAGTCGAAAGTGCGCTCGGCACATCCTACCAACTGCGTACGTTCCGCCAAACTGTCTTCATGCGGCACTTCGACCCCGTCGTCATCGGGACAGGTCGGGATATGGAAATCGAGTAGAAAGTGTACCCAGGGTTCCGTGGTCATAGGCGCCTCCGCGTACTGCGTGCTGAATACCACGCGTGATCCGAACACAGCGCTGAAACAAGGTGAGTATCGCTGGCAAGACTTGGAATGGTAAATGGCATACCGCTCGCTCAAACCGTCTGCTTCACCATGTTCTACTATTCGGGTATTCCCTGGACCCCAGGTAATCCAAGGCAGTTCTCTGGGCGCCTCTGACGGGCGGTCAAGAAGACGTATCAAGGTTGATGTCTTCACCGCGACCATGACAGCGACATCAGGCGCATTGGATAGTGGAAAGGCGTCGTGTTGTGCTTGGATGAGGAATATGTGCATGCGCGATGTCGGTGCAGCATTATGAATCTGTCGCGCCGGTTCGGGAAGTGCAAAGGAGCCCGTTTTCGTGAGAATGTACGGGACACGCCGGTCGTAATGAGGACGTGGGAGAAACAAGCGCACAGAGTCGCGTAACAGCGTGCGACCATGTGTGGAGGAAGTACAGTGGTTGAGGGCAATGAGATGGATAGAGATGGGACCTCGCGCCTCCGATCCGGTTTTCGTGAGCACGAATGCACGATCGGATATGAATGCGAAGTGGGCTGTCATGAACTGCTCGGCGACGAAGTCTTCGGGATCAAGACTCTGTGTAGTATGTCAGAGAAGTAACAAGGTGGGGCGTTAAAGAGGCTTACGACTAGCAGTCTTCCGGACTTCCAGTTCCATATGCGGAGGACGGGTCTTTCTTGGCCAATGAAGACAGCCAGTATATCGTTCACAAGGAAGACCTCGATGACCTCTGCCCAGTGCACTGGACATACATCGTTCAGAGTTCCGCTACCCGCCGCAAGTTCATGGGGAGCTTGGCCCTGGGACTGGAGAGATCGCAGATGCAGCCTAAGGTTGCCTGAAATATCAGTCCCAACGGGCTCGTCATCGAAGATCGCGCCATGCGGTAAGCTATGTCCCTCAAGAAAGACAATCAAGTCCTGAGAGGGATCCATAGCAAGATCCTTCACAAGTATATCCATCTTATCCACCTCGACGCGTCGCTCTTCGAAAGCTCGAGATGGCAGCCAATGAAGGACCAGCTGAGGAGAGCGAGAGATGGTGTAATGTGCGTACACGCCTCCGGCAAGATCGAATGCTAGCCATACATCCGGAAATTCAGCCATCGTCTGCCGTTCAGGCTGGAACTTCCGCCAAGCTGCACGACGCGCATGGAAGACGCCGCGCCGTTCCGAGAGCGTCAATGGACATGTATGTGAACCGTCGACTAGTCCAGCTGCCCCGAGTTCCACGATATATCGAAGCGCTTTCGAGGCTTTGTAAGTTTCTTGAAGCCTTCGACACGTCTATTTGAAGATGTTATCCTTTGTTCCACTCCGCAGGCCGCGGCCAAGGCACGGAGTGGCTCACGGAGGCTAGGCGGAGAATTCCTTGATGACTGAGCAGCGACGATATGTCCGAGAGTAGTTCTATTGGTAGATCGAGTAGCCCTGTGCGACGATATGTTGCAACATCCTGTTCAGACATGGATGAAGGGGGCTGTGGGCATGTAGTGGTTATTGCTCAAAGTGTGTGCACGCCGAGATCTCTTTTGGCGGGATTGACGCGTCTCCACGTGGGAGGGACGCGCTCACGTGCGTTTACTCTTCGCGTGCAAGTGGCGTCTACTGATCAAATCTGGGGTATTTTCGCAGGTTCAAGGTCAGACGCTCGATTTGTATAGAGTAGCGCATACAGTTATATGCACGGCCCTACGGGCAATCCTGGTCCCAGGCAAATTGCGTATGCAGTTGAGAGTACGTAGCACGCGTCAATGGGCTCATTCACTCGGTGTTTGCGGCTCCCTTGCCCCGGGAGGTATTATGCTTCTGTTCCTCACCCGACGAAGGCATTGACAGTTACTCCAGCCCCAGAGTGTGTCACTGGTGATACCGCCATCTTA